TCCTTTTTTTTTTTTTCATTTACAAGTCAAAAGTCATCGCTCTTTCGATCTTCCCCCTCCATCGTGCCAAAGAACCGTCCCTCGTGGTTCCACGCGCTTCGATTTCCATCCCGTGTTCGTCTTTCGCGCGGTCTTTCGAACGATCAAGCGGGGCTGCTCGTAATTTCCGGGAGGGATCGCAATTTTCCCTCGCGCCGGAAACGTTTAAATTCCCTCTTGGTCCCGCCCATTAATGCCACACGTTCTCTTTCGGCCTCGTTATGAATATTCTCACCTGGGCGCACGTGCGTTTCCAGAAGGAAAGACGAGAAAAAAAGAAAAAGAAAGAAATAAAGAAGGGGAATATCGTGGCTTGGAATTGTACGGGGATATACGTTAATTTTCTTGTGGAAATCTGATTGGTTTCGTATTTTATATATATTTCTCTCTTTCTTTGTTGTTTTAATTTTAATTTTAGTTTACAATTAGTTTGGATCTTGGAAATTCGCTTTTTTCCCTTATTGTGTTTTTTGTTAAATGATTGAATATATTTTCGTGTTCATATGCAATTGTGATATAAAAATCGTATTTATAAATATTAAAAAATATATATTTAATCGGATATCCATTAAAGATATCGAATATTTACTTGCTACAGTCACATCTTCACAATAATGGAAAAGCATACGTTTATGAACGAATGGAGAAATAATATATAATAAATACGCGTTGACAAATTTGAATCGAGAAAATTGCTCCACGTTTCAAATTAATCCGCGTTATGGTGGAAAATATAGTAAAAAAAAAAAAAAAAAATTCTTTCAAAGAATTGAAAGATGGCGGATAAGCGCGTAACGAATGAACGAAACGAAGGCTTTCGGAAAAGTGAGGTCCAACTCGATCGGTATCCGGATTGAATTTAAATTCCTTATCGATCGAGCGATCCGGTCTTGGATATCGTTTATTTTTATCTGGATACGTAGCGTATTGCTGATTGCACAATCTCGACGCCCGAATTTCTATCGAATTCGCAACTTGTTGATTCATTTATAGGATTTGGCAATCGCCGCTATGCCACGCCAACTTTTGCACATCATACCTTTTGGTCCCGATCTCGGATCCAACGAGAAACGACACGAATTTCAATATCTGTTTTCAGGATCCTTCTTTCAATATCCATTTTTAATTCGATTCGATAGTCGGAGTGTAAGTTTTCTCTCTCTCTTTTTTTTCTTTTTTAGTTTAATTCGAACTCGTAACTCAATAATTTCGTTGCGGATGGATATTGCAGGTTTTTTTTTAAGTTTTATTTTATTATTATTATTTTTTTTTTTAATACCACTTTTATTGGGATAGGTAATAGAATTTTCTTCATCGCTCTCTATGAACTCTGCTCTAAACTAATTTGATTGTCGATGGTACGAATATTTTGCGAATAAGATTGATTCGAATATAGAATTGTACGATATGAATTTTTGCACGTGGAATGGTAGCATTCTGTATTCCATGTTTTTTTTTTTTTTTTCGTTTCGATGAAAGATAAAAATATTAATTTTTCTAAAAGAATTACGTATTTATAGTTTTTTTTTTTTGTAATTAAAAAGATTCGAAACGAATTCTCTTTCTGTGAAATTAATTTCAATGCAGTCAAGACGAGTCGGTTAATATTAATTATAATACGAACACGATTTAAAAATCAATAATATTTTTCCATTATAATTTTCATTTAAACTCTTTACGTACTATTCTTTAAGGATTTTTATAAATCTTCCATAAATCTCCTCGACGAATGTTTCTGAAAAATATTTCTACCAAGTATCTAATTAAATTCACATTTGCCAATTAATAAAACACTAAACTACAAATAGAATAAAAGTCGGTAAAAAAATTCTTGATCAAAAGTTTACGATCAATCTTTAACAAGAAAACAAATATTCCAAAAATATATCCACAAAAATCATTCGTTGCAACGCGATAAAACGCAACAGAATTATACAATAACGGGACAAGCGTGACAAGCCCCATTCCAAATCACCCCATCGTTTCTCGATCGATCGAGGCCATTACCAACATCCATTACCAAACGTTTCCAAAACGCAACACGGCGTGGGACAACCGTGATTTAATTCAATCATACTCAATTCCGTCATCCATCCATCCATCCATCCATCCATCCATCCATCCATCGTCGGCCGATCGATTCATGATCCACCTTCGAACAATTTCACGTCTTCTTCTCGAAGAAGAAACTAGATATCCACCGTTTCCACGAGCGGATATCCCATTGGAGTTGCCAATTTTCAACCAATGGATTCCGTCTAACTTGGTCCAACTTACATCTTCGATTCCGGATTCAATAAACGGCGGTTGCCGCGTTGCAAAACGACGACTTGGACGATCGATGAACGAAAGCGTAATGAAATACCTTTCGAATCTTAAAATCCCGGCCCCGCGGGATTCTCCACTTCCTTTTTTCCCCCCTCTCCCTCTTTCTCTCTTTTTTTTTATCCCTCGAAGAAGAAGGGAAAACTTTCGAGGCTGGAATAGTTGGCGATAACACGGATAACCCGGGGCATA